CTTTTCCGAATGGGAAGGTGGCTAATTATAGAAAAAAGTTGGGGTCTGTCCTATGATGTCAGCCCTTCAGGATTTGGGCATGTGATGTCAACGGTAACGGCTGTCATGTAAGCCCCGAATATGCGCAAGTGTGGAACGCCCGAGGAACGACTAAGTATGAAATCATATTTGAGCCGAGGCAGATCAGGCCCACTCGGCCTCGTTTGGTATCGTCACTGCGAAATCCATGGCGGTAACTATCATGCTCAAACCCACTGAATTAGCTCCACCCAGAGCGAAATGGGCCGCCACTGTAGAGCTGGGCTTATGATAATGTCTCATCTCGGCATAGGACCTCGACTCGATGGGTATATGACTTATATTACTATCTTTGACTGTCTCATATGAGCCCATGGAAATATGACAATATACCCCATTAATATAGTTATAAAATATTATATTTAATGAGAAATTCAAAATACTTCATATAAATTATAAATAAATGATTAGTTGACATTTATATTTCACATATTACACTATATATTATACTACCTCCATCCCATAAAATAGTTTTCACCCCGATTTGGATCAGAGTTTAAGAAAGTGAGAAAAAAGTGAAAATGATTGGTTGTAGTTGAGTAAGAAAAAAAGTAAATGAATGGTAACCACACAAAACTTTCAAAAAAGGGAAATGTGAACTATTTTTTGGGACAACCCAAAAAGAAAAGTGGAAACTATTTTATTGGACGGAGGGAGTAGTTATTCTTATTTTTATTCAAAAAAATAATAGTTATTTTTATTTTATTTTTAATGTATTGTGTTTGTATTTTACAAATAGTAATTGCTCTAAATAGGACTAAAATTAATCAAAGTGCATAAATAGGACTATATGTTTATAATTCCCTAAATAGAACTTATGTGATCCCTGATCCTATTAAAAGAATAAAACTTCATCAATTAGGACTCAATGAGTCTTGCTTTAGGAGGAAACAATGGAGATCCTATTTGTGCATTTTTCATTATTTAAGTCTTATTTAAGGAATGTACATAGTCTTTTACAAATTGTTTAGAGAGGTTTGCTAAGGGAGAAATGGTCGTCGGCATCGCCCAAAACTTTTGTGAGAAGTCTCAAAAGAAAAAAAGAAAAAGAGAGAGAAAGGAAATCAAATCAATTGTTTGAATTAAAGAATTCTACAAGGTGAAATCTCCTTGGCTGAGGAAAAAGAAAAAAAGTGAAAAAGAATCATTAGGGTTGAAAAAAGAGTAAAAAGGAATCACACAAGAATTTAATATTTTTTAAATGAAAATTGTATATATTCAAATAAATAAATAAAAATCATTACGATAGACTCAAGATAATATCAACTTCACTCACGTGTCCAATGATCAGATTTAGATTTTGTTACACATAAATGATGTGCAAAAGTTGCTAATCATATAACGAACAAATGGAAATGAAAACTTAATTTGACCATCTCGATCTCTATGCTTCTAACTTAATATAAAAATCTATACAATTTCTCTAAAAATTGAAACAAATAAACAATAAATTATAAAAAGCGAATAAAAAGCAAAATCATAAATACGGTTGAACCGAATCATTAATGTCTAATCATGTAGTTGTAACATTCTTGCATGATTTTAATGGAACTGCAGGTTGCATCCGCATGAATCTTTATTAAAAAATCTGCTTGAATCATCTGCCTGATCAGCTACATTTAATGACTTCCAATATATGAGTAATTGATTTGACTAACTACATAAAGAAGAATTAATCGAGCGCTATCCTTCTCTTATCACATGGTGATGATTGATGAGGAGGACAAATAACTAAGTCATCGGAGTTGCTGATGTTTGAAGTTAACCTAAAAAAAATATTTATTGAGTTTAAACTGCGTATAAGATTTTTTTATTCCAAGGATTGAATTAAGTATAAATAATTACAAAATTATGCTTAAATTAAATATTATTTATAAAAATGGAAATTCTATTAAGTGTAATTACGTAGTATTATAGTAGTAACTCTATTGATACTCCTACTGTCCTACAAAACTTTACAATTTTCATATAAAATAATAAATATGAGGGTTGCAAAATAATAATAATAACAATAATAATAACTATGGGTTTTAAATAATAAATTATTCTACATGTACGTTAAGTTTGACTAAATTTTATGAGATAGAGAGAGTAGTAACTTATGTTCAAGTTTTTACTTAAATGATTATGGCATATACTTAGGACGTGCTTACTTCGCTGCTATAAACACAATTAGGTACTTAGGTTAGTAAGAGATCTGAAGTAAACACACAAACTGCTTAAAAAGCCGGTTACTAAGGATGTTTTTACTTGGACTATTTTTCAGTCTCATACCAGACCAGATCATACTAGACCAGACCAAACCAAACTTAGATAGTTATAAAATACACAGAGACCAGACGTTTACCAGACTAGTTCAGACCAGACCAGATCAGAAAATTTTAGTCCAAGTAAAAAGTGTGCTTAAAGTGTCCCTTACTAAACATACCACCTCCATGTATTAATTAGCGCCACTTTAAGTTTTTTCCATTTTCGCTTTTACCCCTATCATATACCATTCCCCTGCCCCACCCCCTAACCCAACCCTTGTAGCCTCACCCCTACCCTACTCCCAGTACCCCGTGCTACCCCTACCCTGACCCACCCTAAACCCTACCTTGACACGTACCCCATACCCCTACCCTGACCCCACCCCGTGTTTTTTTTTTAAATAGTTTTTAAAAATGTGCTTGATTTTTTTTACGATTTTTGTATAAGTTAATATATTTTTGATGATTTTTTGCATCCGTTAAATTTTTTTGTTTGTTTTTATTACAAATAAAAATATACTTATCGTATTAAGCTATACTAAATGTAGAACAGAAAGATAAGGTATAATTTAGTCTTATTTTGGGAAGACAAAGAACATAATCATATTTATGCATTTAGGGATTAGTTTATTCATTTTTTAGAGCGATTTTCCCTAATTTTTTTTAAATAATACTACATCCGTCCCACTAAGATTGAGACAAGAGAATGTGTCACGATTATTAAGAAAAGTGGGTTTGTGTGGTTGATATTAAACTGATAAAGTAATAATAAAGTAAGAATAATTTAGAGCCACACAAACTTTACCAAATTTGGTATGGGACAATCTTAGTGTGATTTCCCGAAAAGGTAAAATGAGACAATCTTAGCGGGACGGAGGGAGTATGTTTGAAAAAAGGGGATATTTTTCGTAAAATATTACAAATAAAAATTCAACGAATTAAAATAGAGGTATTTACCTAAATAGGACTAAATCAGTCTTTAATTGCCAAAATAGGACCAAAGTTTACAAATTCCCCAAATAAGAGTTATTATTTGCAATTAGACCAAATTAACCCCAAGCTTGGAAGTCATACTCCCGCAGACCACAACACTGGACCACAGCCATTAGCTGGTCGCCGCTATTCACCGACAGTCGCCGCTAGTCGCCGCCAATCGCTGGACATCGTCGAAAACCTCAAAAATTGGCCAACGTTGTAGATCTGCCAGCCGCCGTTGCAGATATGGCGGGCGCCGCTGGAGATCTGGCCAGATTTAGCCTCCGCTGGCTGTCGACCGCTGTCCCTTCAGATCCAGCCACCTTCGCAACTACTCCGGCATCCGCCATTACAAAGCTGACCTCCACAGTTGCAGATCTACCCGTTTGCGGCGTAAATGCCAATTTTTTTTTATCAGAATGCCATCTTAAAGGCATTTTCAAATAAAAATACAAAATTTTTTAAGACTAAATATGCCATTTTGATGGCATTTTCAGATTTAACTTGGCATTTTGTAATCAAAGAAGAAAAGTCAGAGAAGAGAAGCAGATCTACGGAGAAGAAAAGTTTATCTCCGACGATAGCAGCGGCAGTGGCCTTCGCGACGGCGGCAGCAGCGGCGGTGGCCTTTATGATGGAGGCAACAACGGTGGTGGCCCTCGCGACTGCGGCAGCGATGCCTATGAGTGAGCTTGTAGGTTCATTGTGGGGGAAAGAGAAGAAGAAGATGATGCGCAGAAGTGTAGCAGAGAGAGAGAGAAGAAATAGGCAGGGAAGAAGAGTGATGCGCTGGGGGATGAGATCGATGTGTGCGCAGGCAGGGGAAAATAAAGGGAAGAAAATAAGGGTAGAAGAGTAATTTAGTCCTATTTCAGGAATAAAAATATGCATAATCCTATTTAAGAATTTCAGGAACAATTTAGTCATATTTGGGGCAATATTTCATTAACATATGGCTGTATAGTACTTGTGTAAATTTTATACTCCCTCCGTCCCAATTTGATGATCCCGTATTTCCTTTCTAGGCCGTCCCAAATTGATAGTCCCATTTTCCTTTTTGGAAAGAAATATGTGGTCCACATCATTTCACCTTTTTATACTCAAATCTCAACCACAACTTTTACCTTTTCAACCACTTTCTTAATATTTGAGCCCAAAAGAAATGAGATCATCAAATTGGGACGGAGGGAGTAGTCATTATGATATATGAGGATCACAATTTTTTTATTACTTCTAATTTAATTACTCCGTATATAGTACTGAGAGCCCGTTTGGTAGCACCAAAATCGGCTGTTTTGGCTGATTCTGCTGAAATTTATGATATTCTGGCTGGAGTGACTGTTTTGGCTGATTCTGCTGATTTAAGAAAAAAATATTTTAAAAATACATTTTATTAATAAATTAAAGAAAAAATTATATGTAAAAATAGCTAAAATGGTCCTCTACAGTAACTTCAGTCAATACAGCCAGAAAAGTAACTCCAACCTTACTTTTTCGGCTTATTACACAATTCAGCGCGCGAAAGTAAAAGTTACGTGTTTGGTGAAAAAGCTGGCTGATAAGCCTGATAAGCCGAAAACAGAGTTCTCCAAACGGGCTCTGAGTATATTTGTAAAGGGAACTACTCCATAATAAAAACGAGTAGAGGGGGGCATGACATAAAAACTAGCTGATAGTTGATGAGTGAAAAATGTGAAGAAAGTCGAAACGCATGACATGGAAAAGTGAATGGAGCAGATGAGGGAAGGCGTGGTCGAAGGACTCATAAAAGGGCAGACCCGCAGAAAGTCTACAAAATATTCCCAGTCACGAAAAAACCAATGGAAATTTCAAGCAAGAAATTAGTGTCGGAAGGAAAGAGCTGGAGCATATGCAAACTCCCTTTCTGGAATTCAACCAATTTTTCTTCATCATCTTCATCATCGTCTACCGCTTACTCTTCTTCATTCAGGCCGCGCCACGACAATGTATTTGCAGGCGCTCATCAGCACAGTAATCTTCACAGCACCTCCTCTACCAAGCCCACTTCCATGAACATCAAGTCCTTTCTTCCCACTCGTCGCAGGCTCAGTCTTGATCCCTCCAACAAGCTCTATTTTCCCTGTAAGTTTTTTCGCTCTATTTTCGAATTCCAGCTTCTCCCTTGCTCATCTGATCCTGATCTGTCTTATTTCGTCATCACTACTCTTTCCACGTCAGATGCAGCTCTAAGAGTGAAATGCCCCATATGGATTAGTTTAAAATCCCAATACAGGGATGAAATTTCGAATTGATCTCTAACCAATTTTAACTTTGTCTTTTGAAGATGAACCTGGGAAACAAGTGAAAAGTGCAATCAGAATCAAGAATGTTAGTAGGACTCATGTTGCCTTTAAGGTATGAAGAAAATTGTAGCCTCCCCCACCCACCCTCATCCTTTCCCTTTACTGGAAGTGGTTGGACTGGTTGCATTGTTAGTTTTAATGACCATTAGATCACGAGTTCAACCTCTAGGAACATTTGGACATGAAATCTGTTTTCGATAAATTTAGTAAAATTCCAGTTTAGTTGGATTTGTTGTGCTTAATGTACATATTAATAGTATATTTAAGTGGGTTTCTAATTCAGGAGAGGAGTGATTCATTAATTCACGTAGTTGACATGATTAAATAGTATATTCCCATTTTGGAAAAGATTTTGTTGAATGGCAATTGGATAGATTGAACAGTATGTGGTTTTTGTTGCGTATGATAGAAAAGATAATTAATTAGTGGTACCAACTGGACAACAATAATGATTAATGAATAAGGACTAAGCTAGTATAAGATGTTGAAGTTGCACCCAACAATTCATCAAGTTGGTGTTATAACGGTATTACTAAATTAAAACAAATAAATTTATTAGATATGTGTAGTATCCTAATAATGATCCATGATTGGCCCTGATTAAATAAGAAAATATTGATTGTTCTATCTTGACGAAATTCCAGTGTATTCCAGCTAATCGTGATAAGTGAACTTAGGAAGTTTATCCAACCAATGTAATTAAAAAGGATCTGTTTCCTTAAATATCTTATGCATTTATATATGATAAAAGTATAAAATGATCATCATTTGAGTATTAATTGTTACTATCTTTCATATCTTTCAAGTTCCAAACAACTGCACCAAAAAGTTGTTACATGCGTCCGCCAGGGTGCATACTTGCTCCGGATGAAAGTCTCATTGCAACAGGTACTAATACCTTTCCTTTTTCCCTTTCTTAGTTTAGAGAGTCACTCCATCTGTCCTGCTTTTTGTTTCCTACTCGTGCAATGGGGCAAGACTGTATATTTTAAATTCGTTTTTTGCAATATTCAATTTACTATTTTCACAAATAGAAATTACATATTTAAAAAATGCATCAAGAAACACGCAATGACATGTATGAGTGCTATGACCATTTTGTTATAAAAGAATATTAAATGAAGTAAGCTTAGAAATGTAAAATTGGATCTGTGAAACATATGGTTTTACTCAGCAGGTAGTTGTGCTACATTTCTTGATTTCTGTGGTTGATTATTGACAGTTTTCAAGTTCGTGGAGCCTCCAGAGAATGATGAGAAAATAGTTGGGATGAAGAGTGGGGTCAAGTTCAAGATAATGAGCCTAAAAGTAAAGGGGGATATGGAATATGTTCCAGAGCTGGTAATATGCATTATCGCATTTATAATTATAAACCAGCTGTTTAACGCATTAAGATAAGATCCATGTGCATGTGATTCTTCCTTTCTTTCTAATAGTTGCCATAATTGATGGATGTGGAAATAATATTTTATGAATGCGAAAGTGTTGTTAATTTAGCCTATGTACTGGAAAATTGTGGGGGAAGGAAAAAACGGGGTTTCCAGTATTTCGCTTTACCTTTCATGTCATGACAGAATATCTAATTTAGATTTCTTAGGGTCTGTTTGCAACAGCTTCTGCTTTTAAAAAAGTGCTTTTTTTAATGAAATGAGGAAAAGTGATTAAATAAAAGTTGATAGTGTTTGAGAAAAAAGTGATTTTGAAAAGTAAAAGTGGGTAGTGTTGTAAAATAAGTGCTTTTTGTGTAATAGAAAAAGTAAAAGCACTTTTGACGCGGAAGCCGAGAAAAATAAAAGTTGTAGTGTTTGAGAAAATAAGTGCTTTTTTAAAGCCAAAAGCTGAGAAGTGCTTTTTTAAAAGCAGTTGCAAACCAACCCTTAGTCTTTAATCATAGAACTATATACGGAGTAGATAAAATGAATTTTAAAGAGCATCTAAAATTGATGGTACATTTCTATATTGTTAATATATGGGATACAAATTTTATATATTTTCATTTCAGTTCTTGTCCAACCAGAGTTTCACCAATTTATATCTGATAGAGGCTGAGACTTATTACCATTATGAGCTCATGGTAGTGTTTATGTTATCTTTTAGAGAAGTGATTTATTTTAGAAATTATAGAGAAGGGGTTTAATTGTAAAAGTTGCCACTGTTTAAAAATAAATTAAGTAGCGTGGATACGCTAAATGGGAAACGTAAAACGGGAAATGTGAGAAACATGATTTCTAAAAAATATTGGATAAGAAACGTGGGGAATACTGTAAATATTTTAAAATATAAGGATATATTTATAAATATTTTCCATATATGTACACAAGTTTTTTCATTTGTTTATATGCACATTATTTTTTCATATAACTTGTTTGTTAACCCAATATTAAATACATAAAGACATGTTCAAATTTAGTAATTATTACATATTAGTACATAATTTAATAAAGGACATCCAAAAAGACATTGGTCAAAAGCTGAAAAAGAAATCAATGGCAAAATTAGATATTTCAAGTGACTTAGACACTAATGCGTCTCCAACAACACCTATAGAGGATGATGGGGTTTCACCGTAGTCACTTTCAAACAAAACCAAAAGACAGACTGAGGCGACAATGAGCAATATTCAAACACGTCTTCATGATTCTTTCTCTAAATTGTGGAGTTCCTTAATGGTTGCACTTTCATTACATTTTCTTTCCTGTACTCTCTTCCCTTTTTAATAAAATTAGGTAAATGACTCCCAACATTTACCCCACAATTTTTGTGATTTGCCTTTTGGGTTAAAAAAATAATAATTTAACATTAAATTTAATGCATGTCTAACACTGCGTTGCGCTAGGGAATATCAAAGTGTTGCTTAGGAGAACACAACAACAACAACAACATCCAAGCCTTAATACCAAAAGATTTTGGGGTCGGTTAACATGAATCGATCCATGATATCGATGTCAAAAAGAGAAGACAGACAAAAAGAAGAAAAAAAAGATTAAATGAATAAGATAAAGATAAATAAATACTCCGTATAAGATAACAATAACATAAGAATATAAGAAAGATAAAAGATAAAAAGATAAAATAGCATAAAAAAGCTAGAAGATAAAAAAGCTCAGGAGAAAATTGTAAACCCAAAGTTCCCAGAAAGTTAAAATTTTATAAGGAAATGGGTTTCCCAATTCCTCTTAATTACGGAAACTGCTTTGGAACAGGAATTTGAAGTGTACGAGTTTATAAAACGGGGAAACATGACTCGGGGAGTCGGGGGAGTTTCGGCTTCACAGGAAATAAGCGATTTTCAAAAGATTTGAAGTTGGAGTGTTTAGTAGAAAAAGAACTTTTTAGTATACTAGTTAGGAAGGTAGAGTATGATTGAAAAATTGAAAAGGAATTTCAAGTACCCTCCCCAAGTAACTTCCCCCCGTTTACGGTTTCTAGCTTTAAATTGTTTAAAGTCAAGCAGGAGCACCTTTTTGAAAACACTATTTTATACTACCTCCGTCCTATTTTATGTGTCTTGTTTTGGTTTGAGATTTTATTATAATAAAGTTAAATGCTATGAACCACATATTTCTTTCCACAAAAGGAAATATGACACTTATTTAGAGACACCCAAAAAGGAAAGTAAGACAGGTAAAATGTGATTAAGGGAGTAGCATTTTATACTAAAAAATCACAAAAAAGTATTTTTTTCATGTATTTTCATGAACTGCTTTATTTGACACTAAATTTATGATTTGGGAATACTACTTCTTTTGGAAATTATTGTTCCCAAAGTTTTACTGTATAGCTGTTTAATAATTATTTATACTCTAGTGCGTGCATAATTTCTATTGTGTTTTTAATGTATTTATTACGGAGTATATGGTAATTTGCATGTCTGCGAATTGTAGTTCAAAAGAATAAATTAGTTTATGTTGCAATTATATCAGAATAAGTCTCTAAATAATGAAATACACGTTGGTGTACAAGCTGATGATCTAGCATTGATGAGTTAAGTCGAAGTCTATTACAAACAACCATATAGAAGTATATACATACACTGTTGACGTAAGTGCTTGTAAAATACACTCTAATTTTACCTGTTGCAACATAGTTAGTGCTGAATGAACATGTTATGCAATATATTGAAACATATTGAGACTTCAATAGAAACCGTTGGGTGAATGATATGTTGAATTTTTACGAAGGCTTCAAATTATGCAAAAATGCTCTTATTTGATTGATCATATTTGAGTTTATGCTTTAACATGTAATGTTACGTGCATTAAGAATATTTGCACCCCTTATGTAAAAGTTACTTATACACCAGTGAGTCCATGTCGTAACTCAACTAACCAACCGTTTGATGTAGTTTGAAGACCAAAAGGATGAAATAGCAGTGGAACAGATACTAAGAGTAGTCTTTCTTGATCCGGAGCAACCTTGCCCTGTGAGTAGTGATAGATAATATACTTTTATACTCTTTCAGTCTTTCCATTTATACTAGTATTTCTCTGTTTCACTTTTTCCTCACAATGTGTGATGGTTCTCTAAAGGCATTGGAGAAACTTAATCGTCAAGTGGCAGAGGCTGAGGCTGAGCTTGAAGCACGCAAAAAGCCTTCAGAAGACAATGGCCCTAAATTTTTTGGAGAAGGCCTGGTTATAGATGAATGGGTAAGCCAATTCTTTGATATTGATTAATGAATTTAAATTTATGGATTTGATCTTCACTGTAGTGTATATTTGTGGCTGGCTTCTGTTACTAAATTGCCAAATTTTGGGGACTTATATTTCCAGTCTAGGTGGATTTTGAATCCTTGAGCACACATTGATAACAGCTTTGGCAATTGGCACTGTTTTTTTTAATACCAAATTTGAAATGGTTAGACATAGTTCTCCATGAAGTGTAGATTACCTCTACGTAATTTTAGCTTAAAATTCAATCGGGAAGGCAGTTAAATAAATTATTTAATAACACTGTGCTTTATATATATATATATATATATATATATATATATATAAACAGTGCAGTGTTTTTCAATGCCACATTTGGCTGACTTCCGGATAATTTTAAGCAGAAATTTTGTGGAGATAATCTGCACTTCATGAGGAACATGCCCACAAAATTTCATTCAAAATTTCCACCGGAAAGCCCCCACACGGGCTTGGCCGGACGGTGGTTTATGTCAGGCCTGCCTGACATGAACTCATGAAGATTCATCTATCTATCTATAATATATATATATATATATATATATATATATATATATATATATATATATATATAATTTCCAAAGCATAGACTACCCCACCTAAATTTGTCATATCGATATTTGAATTTATGTTAATTGGACTAATATTCAGGCATTCAGCTGTGCCATAATTAGTCTTTCTCCATATTAATCACAAGGCAAATAGAGTTTGAGTGAGTGCGTATATAATAATAAAATAGTTTTAGTTAATTAATTATATACTCATTATAGAGTTTTAGTAGTAGTTCCATACCAGAAAAGATATATGCAGATTGCAGGCCATCATGTCAATTGGTTGTTACTTTACCTTGAAAAACAAAAATTATATACTGCTCCTCTTGACAGTTGCTTTTGTCATGTTGTTTAAGAAAATGAATTGTGTTCCTGTTATTTATTTAGAAAGGTTAAAAATAATATGGACTACACAGACCCTTCATTCCTAAAGAGCCATGTAAAGTTAATTTGGGGACAAATGAGAGGAAAATGTAAAGATTTAGTCGGGAATGGTAGTAGAACAGTGAAAATATAGTTTTTAGTTTTTACTCACACATTACCTACATCATGTACATAAGACGGGCTTGAAAGTATTACGTAGTACATAGTAAATGTGTAGTTTCACTATCATTCTATCAACTTAAGCTTTAATCATTTTGTAACGCAGAAAGAAAGGAGGGAAAGGTATCTAGCACGACAGCAGGGTGATGAGCTGAATTCTGCTTGAACAGATTTAGCCTAACTTCTCTACTGTAAGTTGAATCCTTCTGGGAGGGCACAGATAGATAGACCGAGAGGGTATATACCGCTTCTTTTGTTTCCTTCAGAAGAGGAAGTGATATTTCGACATGCATACAAAACTTTGGTTTCTCTGGCACACCCACTATGCAGGAATACAGCTTTGTTATTTCCTTTCCACCCGCCAATTAGAAGTGCGATTCGTTGTTTGTAGCATGTATTTGGATTTGATCTTCAAGGCAGTTCTTTTTCTTTTTTACTTTCAAATGATCCGTGTGCCTGTATCATTGTTGATGACATTGTATGATTATCCTTTTTCTGTATATGGATTATATATTCACTACATAACTTTTTGATGTTCCTATATGCTATTAAGTTTTGGAATTTCAATATTTGTATAATACTTTTTTTTGGAATGTAAATATATATTCACCCAAATGTAGTATCACAACGTGTCCATAACTAAAGGGAAGTGTATAATGTACAACCGACGGTATGACTGACACCGTAGAGTTGGTGGCAATTTCGTAACTTTGGTGAAAAAATTGCGTCTTCTCTTAAATGAGCATTAATGCAACTAGGTGTGGACTCGGGTCGGGCCGCCCGACCCAGTACTGTTTGGGCCCGGCCCAGTACCCGGTCTTGGGCCGGTTCGGACCAACCGGAACCGCTCTAATCCCGGTGTGGGCTCAGGCCCCCTAAAATGCGAACCGGCCCAGCCGGTCCGGGCCTAGATCGGGCCTTTTTTTTTTCAATTTTTTTTTTGTTTCTACCGGGTTGGGCTGGGTGTTTGGGGGGGGGGGGGGGGGGTTATTAGAAACTCAAAAGAAAATTAAAGAAATAACATTGAACCGGAACCGGCCCGGAACCGCCGGCTACCCGGGCCAGTTCCGGTTCCACCATTCCCAAATAAAAGCCCGGCCAGGCCCGAACCGGAACTGGCCCGGGTCCATCCCTAAATGCAACTTTGGTGAGCATTAAGCTTGTTCTTTTGAGTATTAAAAATCTAACATTGAGCATCATGATCTTTGCTTCATATCCAGTGGTGGACTCGGGCCGGTTCGGGCCCGGCCGGGCCTCGGGCCAGGAAAGTTGGGCCCGAGCCCGAACCGCCGGTGGGCGGTTCCGGTTCCGGGCCGGGCCTAACCGGTTCTAATTTTTTTTTGGCTCTTCTATTTAACCCCCAACCCCTCCCCCTCAACCCCAAACCACCCCAAACCACCTCAAATGGCCCAAAATATCTATTCCAACCCAAAACTTAAAAAAAATTCAAAAAAAAAATAAAAAAAATTAAAAACCGGCCCGAACTGGCCGGGCCGGTTCACCAAAAACAGGGCCCGAGCCCGAACCGCCCAGCAGCCGGGCCGGGCCGAACCGAACCGGTGGACCCACCGGGCCCCATGCCGGGCCGGGCCAAACAGTAACCGGGCCGGTTCCGGGCCAGGCCGCCCGGCCCGAGTCCACCACTATTCATATCTTGTGATTCATTTTTTTTCTTTATTAAAATATCTTAAATTATGTTTATAATTAATTCCAATTAATTTCAATATGTAGATCTAATGTATTATGATGCAATTCAAATATGCAACATTTTAAATCGATCATAAAGCGGTACCAAATGAAAATACATAACTTACAAAATGAGCATAAAAGATTCAAAAGCTCATTTGTGTATGCTCATTCATTTTGAACGTTATACTCATTTGTGTTTAGCATAAAACTCATTTCTAACGTGCTCAATATTCATTTGTGTATGTTTATTCCTTTTAGGTGTATGCTCATTTGAGTTTCATATAAAACTTATTTGAGATCTATAGTAGTAAGGGATTCCTCAGCAACGAAGTAGACTCCCCTTATCTCCGAAAGTCACAAGCTCAAACAGCAAAACCGTGTAAGAAAAAGAGAAAAAAGAAAAGAGTGGAAAGAAAGAGAGAAAGAAAATAGGTAACTACGCCGATAGCGCCGCTGCGTTCGTGCTGGAGGATAAGGGGGCGAGTGGTGAGCGGTGGCGACGAGCAACGAGCAACGAGCTAGAGGAGAAGGGGGCGAGTGGTGACGAGCAGTGAGCGTGATGCAAAGCCAAATCGAAGAAACGAAGCGAGATCGAAAAAGCGCAGAAGCCCGGCGAGAAGGAAAACCACGACTATACCGTGAACACGATATAGTCAGCTATATGATATATTTTGCGGGACAATGCCCCATAATGCCAAAAGGGTGATCTCTTAGAGGATACATCTCCAAGCATCAAGCTCAAACAAACAATGCCATAATGACATCAACACAAATGGTGACGGGACCAAGATATACAAAAATGTCACAAAGTATTATTCTCCGGATGTAATTACTATACAAAATCTTGTTCATGAGGTGCTTGACTTCAGACACAACGTCCATTATAATAAAGGCCAATTTGATCCTTGATGAGCGCCAAACGCTTCATCAATTGGGAATCGTTATTCGTTAGGGTGGGGAGTAAAGCTCCACACATCACGGCCCCTAAGCAAGAGCGAATGAAGCCACTTAATTCAAAGGGTGTCCGCCTTGACATGGATATTCCATAAAGTACGTGCAAGGAGCTGAGAACACACTTTCAAGTGACGTTTGCATATCTTCCTCCCCAGAGGAAAATGACAAAGGGCGATAACACAATCAAGAATCATATGCAGGACAGTGCGGTAAAATTCATCTTTCCTTTAGGGGGCCTTTCGTTCTTTGCATATTAAAACTTTACACGTAAAGTGATCGCATGTATACTGTAGGGACGTAATCATTTTACACGTAAAATAAAAATACATTGTTTGGAGAGTTATGCGATCCATTTTAAAAATATATACATACAAAATAAAGACATTGTTTAGCTCAAAAAATAACTCAGGGGATCGAGGCATCATCTGCCATATGAAACGCATGTATCAAATCGAAGCATCATCTGCTATTCAAACGCATGTATCATGGCCTGATGGCCATTCCATCCAAACCTATTAAATGCACGATTTTGCTAAAATCCGATCTTGGGAAGGCTAATTTTTAATAAGAAATTGAAAAAAATTAGCTCTAGAACATTTTGAATATTCTGTAACTCTCATCAACTAGTAGGAATATATGGAATAATTTCTCCGGAACCGTGTGAATCCACTCTAGGCTTCCAATTCCTAAGGAGTGACATCGAGAGCTAAATGACAAAGGTCGGAAGCCGCAAATAATGTATCGTATTCAGCCATCGAGAGCTAAATGACGAAGGTCGGAAGCCGCAAATAATGTATCGTATTCAGCCATATAAAGTAGTTTATCACCCCACGTAAAATAGTTTACATAGTACGGTGTAAAATATTTTTTAAAAAAAAGAGAAATGGTCCTTTATAGACCAAAAAACTACTTATTGACCCGAATAGGAGTGTCAACTTTTTAACTCCTAAATAGGAGTATTTTTAACTCTTCTACCCCTTTTGTCCTTGATTTATTAACTGGAGCCATGTTCTTCTTTGACTCAACTGGCGTGATCTTCTTTATCGTTTCTCTTCAAGCTCATGAGCCAGAGGGTGTTCGGCGGCGGTGCGCTAGGCGGATTTATTTCAGAATCTCGATCCTCCTCCTCTTCTATGAAGTTGACTTCGAGGTTTTGGTTTTAATTTCTTGCAAGACAAATCACGATCCACTTAGAGACTACGACACTCAAAGGTTCCTTACCTCCCTCATCTTTGCCTTCTTTAATTTTCATCACTCCAACACCGTCCTTTTCCTCGTCGTCGTCGGAACTCGGAAGTGACGTCGTCAACGGCGGAGGATGGCAATAAGCTGAAATAATGGAAGTTGAACCTGATTAGTGGCGCAGATGACGGCACTCTGTTCGTTTGTACGTGCTTTTGTCTCTTGCGGAGCCTTTCGAACTCAACATCACCATTGACGATTGCCGGTTCTTGCTATGGCAAATGATTCTCCTATTTATCTTTTTTTGTGTTTACAGGAGTATGTTTTAGCAAATAAACTTTTCGGTGTTAAGTTTAATTCTTCTTTAGCCAATTCCATAGTTTTAGCATTTTGTTAAGAGTTGGAGAAGTGGCAGTAAATTAGCTTGGTCAACTGTCTAGCTGTTATTACAAATAGCTGTTGTATCTTGAATTAATGTAAAGATTAGTTGTTCCATTTTGATATATATATGCATCACTGAGTTTTTCTTGTGCACCAGAACCGTTCGATGAATTGTCCATGTGAAAATTCTCCCTATCTTGTACTTGTTAGTTGAGAAAAATCCTTGGTAGCTTACTTAAATTGGATGAATGGGTAGGCTGATTATGTGTGGACCAACTCACATTGTGATTTTATAGTAACATTGACATATTTTATATCTTTTTAATCAGGACATGTGTAGTGAATATTATCATTGTTTTTAAACAATGACATTTAATGTGGTTTTTAATCATGTGGTTCTTTTATATTATTTGTATTATATCTGAATAATGTAATTATATTATATCGTTAAACAATAACATTGATTCTAAACAATGACATTGATTTTTAAACAATGACACCGATTTTTAAATATTGACATTGATTTTTTAATAATGGCATTGCTTATTAAACAATGACATCATATTGCATTGCTATATGACATGATATGGTCTTACATTGTGCAATTTTTTTTTCAATATTTATTATCTTTAACAATGTTACTCTTTTGTCAATATCAACATGATCTTAACATTATGACATTGTTGTGACAATGTCAATATTAATTAAACAATGCCATGCATTGTCAATTTTGTGACATTGTTTACTTTTTCAATGATGAACGTTAGACATTGTAACATTTTTCAGACATTATTATTGATATTAACATTGACATTGTCATTGTCATTATCATAATGTCGTTTTTCATAGCATTGATAATAATGATATTGCCATTATCACAATGTCATTTTTCATAGCATTGATAACAACGACATTGCCATTATCACAATGTCATTTTTCATAGCATTGACATTGTCATTGTTATTATTTGACATTGTTGTATTGTAGTTATTGTCGAAGCTCATTTAATGGCTATTAGAGTTCATGTCATAGCAAGTGTCATTGCCAACGAAAACGGTGTCACTTCTTAACAATGTCGCAATACTAATATCAAATGTTACATGAAAATTTCACATTGTTATAAAACAAGGTTACAATAAAATATCATTAACAAAAACAATGTCACAATGTCAAGCGACAATGTCATGCTATTAACTCAGTGTAAGAAAATTGTTACAAAACAAGTACTCGTATTATAATGTTAAAAATAATACTCCGTATCAAATTTTGTTTAAAATATTACAATATACGTATAGTAGTACTAGATTATGCTGTCAATGTCATTCAAAATAAGAGCATCTCCAATGATTGAATGTGCACGATGCACATGTGGCATGAGAAATAGCCACATAAATATTAACAAATAAATTATCTCTCTCCTTATTTGAAT